GTGGCGCACGCCTTTAATCCCAGCACTCGGGAGGCAGAGCCAGGTGGATCTCTGTGAGTTTGAGGCCAGCCTAGTCTCCAAAGCGAGTACCAGGAAAGGCGCAAAGCTACACAGAGAAACCCTGTCTCGAAAAACCAAAAAAAAAAAAAAAAAAAAAAAAAAAAAAAATTGGAAAAGGAAAAAAACAAAACAAAACAAGAATCAGATAAGAGGGGCTGGAGAGATGGTTCAGCTGTTATGTGACCAATATGACCTTTGGGGATATGAAGCCCCCCGCAGTGTGACCCACCTTTGTGTCCGTGATTGCAGCACCTGCCCAGAGGATGCAGTGTTCCTGGAGTATATTAATCAAAGTCTCTGTGGTCATGATTCCCTCCTATCAAAGACACATCTCAAGACTCTCTCTGTGCTCTTAATTTCATTATTAAATGAAAATTTCTTTTCTTAGGAGAAAATGTATCTCCATCTCAATACTCTGGCAGGTACAATAAATGTGGAAGCTCTATGACCCTTCCATGGAAAGGTGTAAAGTCTGGTCACGCACTGTTCATCATGTTCCTATATTAAAATTTCACTGTTCTTCCTTGTCCACATGGCTATTCAGGATGCTGTGCAGGGCTTACACATTCACAGGAGAAGGGACATTTGTAGGGTGAACGTCAGGGGATTTGAAGTTGTATCCAACTTCCCAAACACAGTTGTGAACAGGTCTAAAAGGCTCTTTGGTGGCTGACACTGAGGAGGCCAAACTTCTGTTCCCTCCCTGGCTCTGCTATGCACAGTCTGCCCTTGGTGCTGCTCATTTCCGAGCAGGCTGGGGTGAAGGTGTCCTTGCTGTTGCTCCACTGAGGATGGGGACTGCTGTGGTCACAGATGTGCGGAGCTCACGTATCCTTGGAACCTGCACTCATGTGGTCAGAAGGATCAGCGGTCTGGGGAGAGGCTTTTCCACAGGATATGTCACCAGAGCTGACTTTGGTGAGGCTGTGGGTGTCTGCCGAGTCCTAATCACATGCAGGTGTACAGTGATGGCCAGTACAAGGAAGCCCAGATGTTCTGCAGAGCCTGAGCTGGGTGGATTTGCAGAGGTGGGATTCCAGTCCCTGTGTGAGGGAGTGAGACCTTGCAGGTGCACCCACACCCTGTGGCTCTAATGGACGCCCAGTCAGGGGGTCACATTCTCATCGCAGAGAAGAGGAATTTTCCCATAGACATACCCAGGAAGGAAATCCACCCTACTGTGGGGAGGTCAGCACAAGCCCCTTTACCAGAATATCTGAGGAATGCAATACAAAATGAGAATGCTCTACTGAGCCTGTCCATTGTCTTGTGTATTGATGCTGTAATTTTCATTTTGGGTACTCTGCAGGGCTAGAGCTCAGTATCTAATAAGCCACATATTTGGTAGTTGCCAATACTTAAACCTCAAAGGTTTTCTAATTATAGCAAAAGAAAAGTAATCACTGTAGTCATATCAGGAGAGATGGGCCACAAAGGGTAGTGGCCCCGTTTTGTAGTTTCTTGGTGTCAGGAATTGCACAGCTGTCTTTCAATCTACTCTGATTGGGAATTGTATACATGTTTCTGTCCAGCATTTTCAGTGGCATGCTGAGTTTGAAATGCAAAGGTCCTCAAATGGGACTTCCTGAGAGTCTGACCCACTAAGAACCTGCATTCTGTGAGTTTGCTTAGTAGATATGGAAAAAAACATTTACTAATTTAGACAACCTAGTTTATACTGAAATCTAGTGTCAGGCCCTATTTTCTGGCAAGCATAGTGATGATTACAACTCAAGCCCACTTTCTAGAACTCTCCTTTAAAGGAGAAGGAGGGGTGATAGTAGGGGCTGGAAGGAGTTGGTCAGCAAAGCTGCTCTCCCTGCAGTAATGATGCTGAGAGAGCCAGCAGATTTAGGACCAGCCCTCCTGGATGGGCTGGCAAGAGAGAGTTAAATGCTTGCTCAGGAGGTAGAAGCAGTTGGTATTTGGGGACAAGTCTCAGAGGCTGGACATGATGGAAACTGGAAACAGTGATTCTCAAGGCTGAAGAGCAGACACACATGCAGAAGAATTACTGTGTTAGGCACAGAGCACGAGGTGGTGAGAAGTTGTGGCAGAGTGCATCCTTTATAGACACCAGCATGTGGGCATTTCTCCTCCAAAAATACTGTCTGGTGTAGTTTTTGCCTCTGAAAACTGGGCAGTTAAAGTTTTCAGTCTTTTACAAGCCTCACTTATGATTAACTACCTCTTCTTACTTCTGTGTGTGTGTGTCTGTGTGTGTGTGTGTGTGTGTGTGAGAGAGAGAAAGAGAGAGAGAGAGAGAGAGAGGGAGATTGGTGGGGGGCAGTCCTCAATTGCTCTTTATGTGATTCCCTTTCCCATCCTTCCACTCTGGCTAGGTTTGCCCACTGTGGCCTCCAGGAGGCAGCATGGTGTAGTAGAAAGAACTGGACAAAGCCATTTCTTCAGAGCAGTGGCCTGAACTAGGATCTCGGCTCCTACAACCTGTTGTCTAGAAAATATTTTTTAATTATGTGTATTTGTATGTGTTTGTGTGCGTGTGTGTGTGTGTGTGTGTGTGTGTGTGTGTGTGTGTGTGTGTGTGTATGCATCTGATCGCAGGTTCCCATGGAGACCAGAGACATCAGATCTGCCTGAAGATGGAGTTGTAGATGGTGATGAGCAGACCCACAAGGGTACCAGAAACTGAACACAGGTTACTGAGTGGTCTGAGTGTATATCCACCGAGCCATCTTTCCAGCCCCAGCAGCTATGAAATCTTGAGTGAGGCAGGGCACTTTGCACACAGGTTATTTGAACACTGGGCAAGTCAGAACCTCTAAGTATTGAGAAGCCTGTATGTGAGACAGGACAGCTTAGGGGATACCTTACCTGGACCTGTTCTTCTCTATGCCAAACTGACCCAAGATCTATCTGTTCTATATGAGTAAAGGAAGGCCCTGCCCTTGTCCCTCAGGAAACCCCTCTTCACAGAACTATAGCAACACCGAGTTCTCTATGACCCTTGCCATGCTGCCAGGGTATCACCTGGATCTTCAACAGGTATCATGTTCACTGATACCAGTCTTGGTCTAGAGGTGGCAGAGACCCCACTAATGGTCCACAGCTGCTCCCTGCCTGGACCAATGTGATCACTTACTCTATCTGTCTGGGGCACAGACGGGAGTCACAACCTGTGAGAAAGCAACAAGGACACACTTAAGAGCCTTTCTGTCCTCATCAGGAGAGCTTTGCTTACATCTTTGGAGATGGATTTGTTCACAGAGCTTGCTTAGCTCTAGCCTTTGACCTCTCCTTAAGCCCCATCCCCAAGTGGAGGAGCCCTCTCCTCTGTAACCAGTGGGAGACCAGGAATAGAGATGTCTCCTTTTCTGAGAAATGCTGTTTCCTGCATCTTTTCTAAGCCCACCATGAGAGCATCCTAGCCTCTGTGTGTGTGGAAGCTGCATGGCCCACAGCCAGAAAGCTGAGCTAGGTCAGTACATCACTCCCGCACAGGAGCAAGGTCCAGGAGCTTGGAGGCCACGAGTATCCTTACTACCTGGGTGACTGAACCAGCATAGGTGACTCCACTACATGGTGAGAGTGAAGGAGTTTGCCAGTTCCTCCCTTTAGGTACCTGTTAGAGCAGGCTGGCCATAAGGCAGACAAGATGTTGGCTGTTACGTGCATGACCTCAATGCTTTATAACACATGAAACAAAACACCTGTGTTCCCCCAAGCATAACAAACAAAGAAACAAACAACAATAATAAAACCCAACCAGACAAGTGTTCGTATTATCCCAGCATCACAGGTTAGAAGTTAGGAGGCTCAGGCAGGGATGAAATCTTATGTAGCATCATGATGTTATGAATAAAAGATCTCAGATTTAAACTCAGTTCTCCCTTTACTGTCTAGAAGAAATGCAATGTCTAGAGAAGAAACAATGAGAGGTAGATGCTGGAGAGAGCTTGCTGCGTTTGAAAATATTTTATACATCCCAAAGCATTGCGAAGCTCCAAATATTGGTAGATACAGAGGAAAGTATTTTCTTGTACACCATCTGTGAGTAAACTGGCATGACACTTCTCAGTTCCTAGATACATCATTGTGTTCTCAGCATAATACAGGCATTCACCTACATTTTCACAGTACAAAGATTGAAGTGAGAAAATTAACACTACCACCTTTAGACACAAATTGTCCCCAAATTTATTTTCTAATAAAAACATTCAATCCAGAGTCAGGGTTCATGTTAGTTTGTCATGCTCCTTTAGTCAGAATTGTTACAGCTTTAACATACGTATGAGGGAAATCAAAACAGAGGACGTGCCCGGCTATCCAAGGCTTCAGTGGTTGAGTGTAGCAAATAGGGAAAGGGTCTCAGACATGAGCTAACTTGAGCTGCCTCTGGAGCTTCTTTCATTGCTCAAGGGGTCACCATGGGCCTGGATCAAGGGTCCAAGTAATGCTTTTCACACAGCATCAGACAGCTTTATAAGAGGCACTAGGAGGACCACAGTGGTCATCATGTGGCTAACTAGAACACACAGGAAGAACCACTGGAAAACATTTCACCCACTAGTTACCAATTTTCATCTCCTGTGCTCTCCTCTTCCTCCTTCTACGTTGGAGACAGGGTCTTGCCATGTAGTTCAAGATGGTCTCAAAGTACACAACTGGTGCTCAGGGAAGCCAGAAGAGGGTGTCAGATCCTCTTCATGACAGACTGTCATGAGCTGACATGTGGGTGGTGGGGATTGGGCTGTGGGTCCCTGGTCCTCTGGAAGAGCAGCTAGTGCTCTTAACCACTGAGCCATCTTTCCAGCTCCTCTGTAATTATTAAAGATTCAATCTCCTGAAACCAGATTCTTATCTCTTTCAAAAGTGCAATGACAAAGTACTGTTTCCCCTTAATAGTGAGTCTAGCTCAGGCCAACTGCTCACATTGTATCCTGGCCCACAGCACACAGACATCAGACCAGACACAGTAGGAACCGCAGGTAAAACATTTATTATAAATATCATTAGGTGATTAGATGGGGAACAGGAATGAGGCACCAGGGTCTTTTAAGTAGAGTTTGGAAGACACAGAGTGATTTCTGGAAGCCATCAATGAATGCTGTTTTGTTCCGGCAGGTCTGATTTACCAGCACTTGTTTCTGTGCACTGATTTTCCACTGACTGGACCTGTCCTCTGAGCAAGGTACTCAGAGCATGAATCCTGGCTTCCCAGTCGGCTCTCCAGAAGGCCTCAGTGTGCAGGTGCCAGTGAGGACTGTGTGTAGCACCAACCCTTACTGTGTGGCTAACGGTCTTCTCCATGGTCTAAGAACCCTCCTTGTCTGGAGTTTGGCTCCTCCCCTCTGAGAAGTTAGAGCTCAGAGGCAGAAGCCATGCAGAGGCCGGGAACTTTCTTCACTCACCACTGAGCGGGTGGCACATCACAACCAAATCTTCCATCAGCATCTTAGGTTTGTGAGAGGAAGGACCATCTCACTGCCCCTGAGGAATGACACAGCTATGGGAACTTTCCTCTAGGAGGAAATGGAATGTTTCCAACGGGCGTCAGCTGTCACTACAGACCGTGGGGCTTACTGGACTCTGGGATCTTAGGACTGAGTCAATTAAGGGAAGGCAGCCTAGCTGGTCCGCCACTTCTCAGTCAAGAATATGCTTTCAGAGGTGAAGTAACACGAAATTCAATGGATTACTTCTGTTCATTCACAAAATAATATCTTTCCGGTCAATAAAGTCTGGGCAAATGGGAAATAAATTTATGCTAATGTTTTACTCAACAATTTAAAACATCTTTCCAAAAAGTATGTTCTAGATTTTCAGAAGGGAAGAATCATAGGGGAACGAACGGCATCATGAAAGGCATCAGTTCACAGCTTCCTGTCCATGGAGCTTCACTGGAGGAATCACAGCGATGAGCCACTCCACAGTCATACACACCAGATGTGGACAGTCCATCCCTCTCTTCTTGCTCAGGAGGAGCCTGCAGGGACCTGGCATTTTAGGGCTCAGGTGGAGCCTGCTAGCCATCTGGCCATCCTGTGGCAGGTCAGAGTCAGGATCCTTCAGCAGCTCTGTCTAGTTAGTTGACGAATGCCAGGCAACCTTGATTCTCGGTTTACTGCAGCAGGAGCAGGAAGACATGCTGATGACCTCAGCCAAGACCCATACAACATCTGACTTGATTTCCCCCGCCCCTCAGGGAAACCAAGCTCACTGCCAGCGTCCCTGCTCATTCCTCCCTGCAGCTGGAAGGGCAGGGGTGCTCTTCTCAGGCTTACACATTTTACACACCTGACTGCACACTTCACACTCATGGGTGGGTTTTCATTTTCTAGTCAGTGTTTCATCATTTCATCCAGGACAATCGATTCTAAAGTAAGGATTCACTTGGAATCACCTACATGTACATTGTCTTGGGCTTGTCAGGATCCTGTTGGGCAAACTGCACTGTACAGCTCTGTCGGGCTCCTTGTAAAAAGAGGAATCTTTGTGGAGATCACTGTGGAGGTCCTGAGTCAGGGAACATGTGGAATGAGTCATCAACTGTGTTCACTTTAGTCTCGGCACAGGGAGATGGTGGTCTGTAAGCCGACAGGGTTTCTTGTTTCCTATTCAAGCGTTAAGATTAAACATTCACCCGTAAGCAGAACACACCTACAGCTCCCACGTTATCAGCTGTAGGTGCGTCTTCCCAGGGCCAGTTTTTATATTTTGGGCAGTTTATGATTCATCCAGTCAGCAACGATGGCAGCCACCTCCTGGCTGAAACCAAGGACAAAGGCATGGGATATTCCTTTCTCACAGAGTCGGATATCGCCTTCTGGAAAATCTTTCTTCATGTCTTCATAGTACTTTACTGGACACCAGCCATCTGTCTTACCATAGTAAAATGTCAGCTGAAAGACAAGAAACAGCGTTTTATTGTCCCCTCCCAGTGTCAACTGACCCCTGTGGACTGCAGTGCTTGGAGGGAGCACCTGTGCCCGACTCCACCCACTGGTCCTCAGGTCCCTTCCAGAGCCCTTAGAGAACACGGGATGCATGAAGGGCGTGTGAGGGGAAGACTGTGGGGTGGGCTCCTCTAACCTACTGAGAGAAGGTCTGACAGGGTCATGTGTACTGAGGCTGGAGTGGACGCGGGAGAGCAGAGGGGAGGTGAGGGGACAGTTAAGCTGACCCAGTCAATGCTGGAGTGGTGAGCACACACTGTTTTCACACAGCCCTTGGGTAGGCCCAGGGACAGGTTTGCTGAATGAAGGCAAGGAGATCAGTCTGCAAAGAAGTCGGATTGTCTCTGGCTTCTCAATGCCCTTATGAAAATGTGATGAGCTTTCTAAGAGACTCTGTGGCACTCTAAGAAGCTCTGTGCAACAGGAGAGCATGCGCAATCCAATGAGAACACTTTGTACTCATTCCTCAGGAGCCTGAGTGGCAACAGAGCCTCCTTTGAGGCATTACTAAGATCTTTTCTGGAGATTTATCTATCTTTGCATGCGAAACATACGTGTGTACCATACAGATGCTACATTATAAGCTGCTGAGCTCCACTGAAAACTATTATGTTCTCTATAATTCTTTACAAAAAAAGAAACAAAAGTAAAATGATATTCAGAATGTTACATAGTGATGATAAAAAATTTTTAAAAATTATTTGTGTGTGTGTTTGTACATGGCACAGAGCACATCTGGATGCCAGTGGACTTTGTAGAATTGCTTTTCTTCTTCCGTCTTTATGTGGGTCCTGGGGACCAAACAGGTTATTAGACCTTCATCGTAAAATACCACAGTGATCATTTTTATTAAAGAATAAAGACTAGATTTTACGGAAGTTGTGACATATCACCAAACTAAAAAGTTACACCCAGTCAGCTCCGGCCCCTAAGGCATCTGAAATAGTCACTGGTAGTTTCTGTAACACATCACATTGGCTCACTCACATACAGTCATTTACGCATTAGCGTTTAGCAAATATGACTTGAGCACACCCCCTCTGTGTCAGGAACCAGTGTTGGGGAAGAGGGAAGGGGTGATGCCACCCAAGCCCAGGTGGGGGTAATTGGGGTTGGCGGGGGACAGCAGTGATCCCTTGGAGTTGCTTTAGCTGGAGGAGGACGCTGTGGGGCAGACTAGAGTGAGTCACAGGCATGAAGGGCGAGGCACTGCTGGGAGAACTAGAAGCCGCCGCCGACACCGTGTGTTAGGTGGTGGAGGATGAGCCTGCCGGCGGGGCAGAGGAAGATCATGTTGCGATCGATCATCTTCTACACTTAGGAAAGCTCCCAGCAGCTGCCTCGTTTTCCTGGCCTCAGTTCCTTCTTGACCTCTGGAGACGTGATCTCTCAAGCGGTGACATCAGTCACAGAAACATTTCCCAGGCTCTCTCGGTGATTTTCCTGGTGTCACACCCCCTTTTGAAAAAAACTGCTGTGAGCACAAACTACCTGCAGGGATTAATTACCTGCCAGTAACAGCTAATTACTTGAGGCTCTCTCTGGACTTCCGCAACTGTCACTGGGAATCTGTGAAACAATTCATGAAAGAGCCAATGATGAGAGCCGTCACTATGTAGGGTTGTCTAGCACTTCCACAGTGCAGGAACCAGCAGTTCGAAAGCTAGGCAGCCGGCTTTCGTTTGTTGTGGCCTGCTCTGCGGCATCCTGCTCTCTGAGGCTACCACAGCAGTCTGGGGCCTTCCGACTAGCACATGCTATGGTGGTGATTCCTGTGAAAACTACTACTGAAGAGCCAATCAGAGGGAAGCAGAGCTGCCGGAGAAGATCTCAGCTCACAAAGTTGTCTTGACAGGACTGTCACTGGACTTGGTGTTGCTCTCTGACAGACACTTCGAGAACAATTTCTGTGACAATCCTGACGTTCGCTTCTCGGTGAGGCAACCAAAACTTGAAATGTGTCCAGTGAGAAGCCCAGTCGGATGAACCCTCGGCACTGGGAGATGCCATCAGCTGCCTCGTGCTCAAAGATGTTTGGTGAACGGGAGACTCAGCCTGGATTTGGGGACCCTGAAGCTACCCCAGGGTATCAGGAGACAGATCATGTCCAAGTAATTAGAGTAGACACTGCACACTGACATGCGCAGAGTGAACAGCTACACATCCAAAGGTACGCATGGCTACCAGGCAAAAGGCCAGAATTTCTTGTCTCCCTTATGGAAGTTTGCACAAAGGCATCCAGCAATCATCTGAACTACCTGGGGTTGCAGTGAGAAGCTGAGCCAGGGCACACTTTCCTTTGCCGAGGCAGCTGAGTATGAGGCCCTGGAAGCCGTTTTTCCTCCTGTGTTTCTGCTGCTTCCTGGGTCGTACACCCTAGGAAAAAAAAATAGCTGAGGGACCTGAGTGGTCCAAGTGAACTGAGAAATGACAGAATCCAGCTCATCAGAACCCCCTGCACTTCAGTACTGAGTCCAGACCTGAGAAAAATTTAGCAACACTATTCCCCCCCACCTCCTGGATTCCAAAGAACAGTTCCTTTAGGCATCTTGTGTGGAGCAGTGGCTGCGATCTCAACAGGACCGGACATTCCAGGGCCTCAGCCACACACTCAACATCAGCAACACCTCTCATTACAGAAGAAGCATGTGGGAAGGGAGTGTGTAAGGGGAGGGAAAGCAGCCAGTCTTCCAAAAAAAAAAAAAAAAATACTCAAAGGCCTATCTAGGCGGTGGCTAATTTTTATAGTAGTAATAGTGAGTGCTTACTGAAGGCATCATATATGCTGGACACTCTTGGTAAGGTCTGAATTATGAGATAGGAATTATGACCACCATCTTAGCACAACTCCCCGAGAATATATTTTACCATGAAATGGTTTTATGGATGGGGGAAGGCATCATACAACGAAGCAAGTGGCAGAGCTAGGATTTGAACCTGGGTTGTGACATCGTGGACTCTGCCCTCTGACACTGACGGACCTCTTTTCAATGAGGCTCCACTAGAGGACTTAAGAGCGTGTGAATGCAACCCCCTTGAACGAAGCTCTTGAGGTCAAAACGATGGAGTTAAAAACAAGCCTATCTGCTTCCAGGACGATCATGACGTTCTGGACAGGCTTCCAGTTAAACAGGCAGAACTAACGCAATCCGTTGCAGAGCGGGGCTTGGCGGAAAGGCAAGCCTCGGTGAGCTGGTCCAGGGAGCACTCTCCTATGCTCCGCCAAGCAGGACGTGTGCATGTCAGAAGGATTTGCACGGCCATTCTGCAAATGTCGGCACTGTACAAGGGCTGTTCCCACAGGCAGCATGCACCTCTGGCTGAGGCAGACTAAGCAGAAGATGGGGCAGAGCTAGGGTGGAAAGCTCCTTCCCTGAGAGTACTCCGCCCCCTTTTTAAGCCCCATGGTAGCCCTGGCCTAAGGCAGAGGCAACACCACCTTGCCCTGCCACAGCTGACACCTTCTTCCAAAGGTTGCAGCCTATGTGCTCTGTTTGTGAACAACTGCAGACCCCTGTGGACCCAGAGTGATATTCAGATTCTATCCGGAAGCAGCACATAACAGCTGTTTCCAAGAGCCTGAGCCAGAGATGGTCACGGCGGTTTAGAATTTCCCTCCTAAGTGAGTTTTCAATGAAAATGTCAAGTTTTGAACCAAACACTCATTCACTTGTCTATGAAGGAGACATGTTTCTCCTGATGGTTTAGAACAAGGACAGAATAAGGGCACGAGGACCTTCTTGTTACTTCAGATACACCAGGTACCTGGTAAAGCACAGCAGACCCCGCAGGCGCCCACACAAATCTGGAGCGGCCACATGTACGGTTGACTTTCTTCCCTTGGCTTCCTCTAGTCCAGAGCTCACCTAATACCGCTCCCTGCCTCTATTCCCATTATATTCAACGGCTCCTCTATCCCCAACCTTTAACTTGAAATGGCCAAGCATCAAACTTCAGACGGCTTCTTTCTTTATATTACAGACTTCTCTAGGTGGCCACCATGCATGCTCACAGCTTCAACTCTAGGCCTACCATGCCAAAACCAAAACTGAGCCCAGACTCCTCTTTTAAAGTTCCACAGCATACATCTGGGCATGTATTTGCTTGGATATCCCACAGGTGTCTCATACACAAGTACCAACCACCTCCCACAACCTGGGACTACATTGCATCTGCCCTCACCACCAAATCTGGACCTAGGGCAACAGTCTCAGATTCCTTCACCCCATCTGCTAACACCCCACCTGCACTAAGGGCCTTTGAATCTTCCTCCTGAATCATTTCATCCCCAACCCCACTGCATTCATTATTCTAAAGCCTGCAAACAGACATGCCGCCTAAAATGTAACTGTTTCCCAATCTTCTCCCAACACTTTCCCGAAATCATCACTCAAGCGGGGTAATCTCACCACATTTGTTAGGATAACTGATACATACAGGAATATCTGAATGGGCTGTTGCCGGCTAGTTCTGATTGGTCAGTGGCTATATCATGTAGTCAAATATTCACAATATCCTCTAGTTCAGTAGTTCTCAGCCTCCCTTATGCAGTGACCTTTAATACAGTCCCTCATGTTGTGATGATGCCAACCATAAAATTGCTTTCATTGCTACCATATAACTTTGCTACTTTTAAGATTCTTAATGTAAATGTCTGTGTTTTTGAATGGTCTTAGGTTACCCGTGTGAAAGGGTGGTTCCCGCCCCAGATGTGTTGTGACCCACAGGTTAAGAACGGCTGCTCCTGATGCTGTCCCTTGTTCATGACGTGATCAGTGCCCAAGACCGCACATCATGTACCCAGCCATTTTCCAAAATGTGGGGCTTTTAACTTGGAGTCTACAAGCCACAAAGGTCCAGTGCTCTGGAGTATAAACTGGTCATTTACCCCTAACTATAATTTAATATTTCCTTCAATTATAAATACAGACAATAAGCCACTATATTATTAATACATATTTGTTCAAATCATAGTAAACTCACTGTAGATGAGTAAAAACAGATTGACACTCATTACTGCAAACTCAAAGAAATAACTCTGTTATTATATCATTAATTATATTTAATTTTTAATTATATGTGTATGCATGTGTCTGCCTGTGTGTTTATACACATGAGTGAAATTGCACAAAGAGGCCTGAGGCATCAGACCCCCTGCACCTGGAGATACAGCGGTTGTGGGTTGCCTGTTGTGGATTCATGAACTGAACCTGGGTCCTCTGCAAGAACAGTGCTCACTGCTAACCACTGAGCATCTCTCCAGCACCTGTTATTACCTCTTCCTCTTCAATGTGTTAATAAAGGTGCCCACAGTACTGTATCACAAATTAATTTTAGAGTATGTTGTTGACTGTATTTCAATATAATCCATATCCTATAAAAGTTTCCTGACTGATCTGTCTTTCCACTCACCCAGCTAGCACCCATTCACTGATGGTTCACCAGAGACTCTGAATTGTGCGGGACCCTCAGATGAAAATAACCGCTCCTTGCGTGGGTGGGGCGAGAGGAAGGCTGTGCATTCACACCATGTGTGACAAATGTGATATTCTAACTCTGAACAGGGAGCCATGGGAGCCACGGATTGCTGCAACTGGGGAAACTTCCTGGAGATGACAGTGAGAGCCGAGTTGAAGGAAAAGTGGGAGTTAGCCTGGTGAAGAGACAGAGTAGCCTCTGATGTCACCATCGTGCTACACTCCTTTGGAAGCAACTATGATGCTGTATTTTCACCTGGAAAGGGAAGCAACTATTTACTGTCGGAGACTGTAAACCAACACAGCTGTCCAGGACTGGGAATACATTCTGCTGCTCTTGCAAGGAAGACAGCTGGCCTAGACTTTTCAGAGTTCAATTGGTCAGTTTCCCTAAATATATTCAAACTTCTCTTTGTGTGAACAATGGATATCGATGGCAGAAAATCTAATTGTGACTTTAAAGCCAAAAGCCAGCCGATCAAGGTAGAAGAAGAGTCTAGGAAGCGTTCGGCACAATGTGGTGAGACACTGTTTCTAGATTAGTTTTCTTAGCTAGAAGGTACAAAAATACTCTTTATGTAACGGTTTTGAGTTGAATAGAAAAAAGTTTTTGCATCAACAATGGTTCAGAAACTTCATGCTGGGCAGTGGGAATAGGCACGAAGGTTCTGAGTACCTCTGCCTCAGTGGAAATGGGAGAGGGCGTCCTTGAACACAGCATCCAAGGCAGAGGTGTTTGCAGTCTCAGGAACTGGCTTTTGGCTTTGACTAAAACAGCAGTTCTCAACCTGGAGGTTGTGACACCTTTGGAGTCAAAGGACCCTTTCACAGAGGTCACCTCAGACCATCAGAAAACACAGATATTTATATAACAACTCATAACAGGGCAAAATTACAGTTATGAAGTAGCAATGAAAAGAATTTTGTGGTTGGGGTCCCCACAACATGAGGAACTGTATTAAAGGGTTGCAGCATCAGGAAGGTTGAGAACTGCTGGAAAAAACGATCTCTGGTATCGGGGAGACAATGCCCACCTTCCTAGAACTGTGTGTCCAGTTAACTCCCCTTATTTTCCTAAGCGGATGGGACATACTATGTTGAGTCACCTTTGCTGTGGGATGGTCTGTATGTTAAATTGCTCTGATTGGTCAATAAATAAAACACTGATTGGCCAGTGGCCAGTCAGGAAGTATAGGCGGGACTAACAGAGAGGAGAATTGAGAGAAGAGGAAGGTGGAGGGAGTCACTGCCAGCCGCTGCCATGACAAGCAGCATGTGAAGATGCCGGTAAGCCACAAGCCAAGTGGCAAGTGGGCTGTCGGACTGCCAGGGCTCGGCGGGTCCTGGAGAGAAGCTCTCCAGCTACACACCTTCATCAAAATTAAGTTGCACTATGTTTCCTCCCGTTTTTTCATTACCTAACAGGAAGTTGCCATCCACTTCCTGTCTCTCTGCATTTGCTCTGGAATGCTGGGGACCAGGGACCACCCCATCTGGGTGGAGAGCTACTCTTTGGCTGGTGAAGGCATTTCGTGAGCTCATGGTAAGGGAGTTACAGTGAGACAGTCATGGAGCTGCACACCAGCAGGACCAGCGACACCGGACTAGCCTTCAATTCTACCATGCACTTGATGTTGTTGTCTTAGAAACACACTTATTCCCTGGAGCTGGAGAGCTTCTTCCTGAGCCTGTGTTAACATCAACCTTGAAATGTTGACCACCAGCATGCTCCCAGGTTTATCCAGAGAAAGTGTCAGGAAACATGCAGCCCCGCCAGTCACCATGAGCAGACCTCTACCTGGGAATGATTACACATACATATGGGTTTAACTTAGCACAGGATAAGTTGGCCCCTCTCTGACCTCTTTCTGAGCACAGCGTGCACACAGAATCCTGAACAGGATCCTGTATTTTACAGCAGCGGGCTTCCCCAGGTGGCAGGACCGCCTCTAATGTGACAGCCCAGTCACTCCCCAAGTGTGAAGTTTGGAAGTGAGTGTCTGCCAATCTTGGTATAAAGCAGGAGGTGAATTGCTTTTACAAACTTCCAACCTGGAGAACTTAAATGCATTCTGGAAACAGACTCGTTTATAATTTAACTACAAAATAAAATGCTGTTTTCTGGTAATTTCATACCCTCAATGCTGGAAGTATTTCAGAGCCCTGGAGAGTAAGTAGGTCCTCCTTGTCCAACCTTATCCTGTCAGCCAAGAACAGCTTCCTCTTGAGTCACCATTTCTATCTCTAGACAACTGCTGCTTAGGAAATATGAAGACCACCAATATGATGATCATATGATGACGTAAATATGACGACATAAACCAACAGATACTAGCATTTTCCCAGGTCCTGCTGGAGTGAATATTTTCAATACAATGAAACCTTTTCTGAGCAACACACACATATATATATAATGCTTGCTTTCAGAAAACTGTGTTGAGGGGTTAGAGAACTATGAATAACCACTGTGGACAAGCTTCAGTCTAATGTCTCACAGTTAAGAAGAGATCTTCACTGCAGTGCGCTATCTAGAATTTGACTTGCAGGTCCTATCACAGTGTGTCATCCGTCAGGGATCATTCTACTGTCCCCAGCAGATGTCAGTGTTACACACCAGCTGTAAAGTTCTAGGTCAGTGTCATCTCCAGAAGCATACAGCAAGGCACAGATGTACTTCAAGAAACTTCTAGTAACAGTGTTAAAGAGTCTGAAGGAATGAGTAAAATTACTGTCAATGTATTTTAAACATATTCACAACAATCCATCTAAACTATTTCAACATGTAATCAATATATTAATAACATATTTTCCTCCTAAGCTACTAATGTTTGTCTGCCTGTGCTGAGGTTGAATTCAGTCCTGGACAATACCAGGCAAACTCTTTACCACTGATCTGTATCCTGAGCACCCGGTACCAACGTCCTGAAAGTCAATGTGCACTTAACTTATGAAACACCTCAATTCAAACTGACCACACACAGCACTTCTGGAGTATGGGTGTGGGAGGTTAACAGTGCAGTTCTGGGCTGTGAGAAGTTCAGCGCCGGTCATGTGCCTTTAGCATGTGCAAGGGCCTAGGTGTGATGGAACTGAAGCAACTGCACAAAAGTAGTGCAGAATGGGGCTGGAGAGATGGCTCACAAGTTAAGAGGCTGCACTTCCAGAGGTCACAGGTTCAATTCCTAGTACACACATGGCAGCTCACAACAGTCTGTAACTCCATTTCCAGGGTATTTGCAACACTCTAAACAGACATACGTGCAGGCAAAACACCAATGCACCTAAAATAAATAAATATCTAAAACAAAGAAACAAAGAAACAAACACCAGCGCAGATCTACCCTCTGCAGGATGACGCAGACAGATGATGTCCCAGAAGCACCTCGGCTATGTATGTTTTAGGGCCTTTGGGCATATTCTAAACCATGGTGGCTTTAGAGCTTTGGATATTGGCACTTCCAAATGTTTTTGTGAGTGAGTCTAGCATTTGCAGGTATCACACATGTCCTGATAGCTCAGAAAGCTGCTTTTATGTGAGAACAGGAAGCCCTGTGTGTTGGAGAAGGAGAAAGCTAGGCTTCCTGTTCATTAGGTCACATACAATGTTAGCTCCTCTCCACTGTTTGAATTCTTACACCTCAATAGAACTCACTTATTCTATAGGTGCTATTGAGACTTCTCAGCTTAATACATTAAAAGCATTGATTTTATAAAATCAATTTAACAAAACAAGTGGCAAAATAAACTTCTGTAGTTGTAGTCAGCTTTACTTTCTCCATGTAACTTTCAAGGGTAACAGAACCTCCTCTGAATCCACAAAGGCTCAACGTCTTCAGTTCTTAGTCAATTCCAGCCTTGTGTCCTCAGTCAGTGTTTCTACCCATTAACTAACATGCCTGCAGCCTCAGAGTGGTTACCTTAGGTAAGTGTTCCTTTATGATTTCATCATCTCTCTTCCGCACATGTATCATTTCCTGGCTCCCGAGGTAGGCAGCATTAGCTTCATTAAAAAACAAAGAAACAAACAGTTAAACACTTAGAATATACAGAAGAACACAAATATCAAATTAATTTCAGCAAATTCATGCTTCCTTCTTCTAGAGGCCAAGTGTTATCTGAGGTTAGGAATTGTGGGTCTAAAAGATGTACATGAACTCTCTGGCAGGCTTGCAAAGGCAAGGTGTGTTTACAGAGGACTATGTCTCCAAGGTTTAGCTGACCCTGGGAGGGGCAGTCTACCCTGGCCAGCAAGGACCCACAATGCCAATGCATCATAGGTCACAAGAGCATGACCAACACCCTTTGGGCAAGTGAGAAGAGCTCCTCCTGTATTCTTCCCCCTCATGACAGCCTGGGAACATAAAACAATAAAAGCACAGAACTGTAAAATTCACTTCACTGGTTTCTCTTTTCTCAGAACCTCTGCGTTTCACTGTCCAGCATCCAGTGTCTTAACAACTTTGGCTTTCACATTCTGTTTGTCTTTTCAGTTGTTTTAGTCAAGAGGGCAAATGAAGTCCTTCTTATTCATCTCAGAAGTGGAGGAGCTATGTGAAGTTATTGCCATTGGAAATGAAAATCCACTTGAGATTTTCCCAATGGAGGGGTTTGGAAGCAAACAACTGAAACACTTTGGCTGCCACTTTTACAATTCAGAAGTCTTCATTAAGAGATTACACTTTCTGTCTCTGGAAACATCTAGAAACATGACACCCCTCAGATTTCACAAGGAAGACTTTGTGGCTACATTTACAGATTAAATTCAGAAATCATTTTGACTAACACTGGCTAAAGTTTAGATACTTCTTGGCTACAAGATTTTATCAAAATACCAACTACAAGGCACCGAGTCACAATTTAGTGCTACAGAGAAGTAGAATTCAAGCCACACTTGTGAGACCTTGGGAGGCCCCTCCTTGGCTGCCATGTAGTGGTTAGGCCCTCTTACACCCTCATGAGAGCTTCATCAGTAAGCACCCAACATTTCCAGGTGGTCTTTCTACTGTACTCCCAGGCTGGAGTGTTATCAAGAGGAGGATATGGACTCAAAGCTCCTATTTCCAGAAATCCATACTCTGTAGGTCAGGGACAGAATCTTCAGTGAAGAACACACCATTCCTATGTAAATCACCCCATCAAAGTCTCAAATCCCAGGTATTAACTCTCTGGAAACTCCAACACAGCATCCCAGCATCACCCCCATCCTCCTCTTGAAATCACCCCAGGGCTACTAGGTGCCAGGCAAGAGACTACCCAGAGACTGCAGATGTTATAACAGGCAATCCTGGATCTTTCCAGTCAGGTGCCCAGCCCACCTCAACCCATCCTTCCATGGAATCCACAACACAGGCTCTGAGTCATCTGTCCCTTCTGCCTCCTGACCTAAAAGGGTGCTCTCTTGTGTGGACCTGTCTGGTGTGGCATGTCCCCACCACTGGGAGCTGTAAGCAATCCCCTCTCCTCTCAAAGGCAGCTGTCTGCATGTCTATCATCCTCCATATCTGATTGACACAACTCTAAATGCATTCTGCATCAAGGAGACAGGGCCTCTGGGAAGGTGAACGCAGTGGCTTTGGTAGAGCAGAGCAGTGGAGAACAGAGTGCTCCAGTGACTGAAATCTCCAGAGATCGACAAAGGGTCATCCTTGAGTTCTAGCTGAGTACTGACCAGCAGCACAGTCATGAGACAGACAGTCAGAATCCAGGGAATGAAACTTCAGAAGGGATTGCAGGAACAATCCTTGAACTGGATACTGTTTCTGCCAGAGCAGGGGAAAAACTCTTAGTGAACAACATAGGACCTAGAGGACTCAGGGTGGCCTTTGGAACCCCATGTCAAGAAGTCAGACTCTCAGCTGTGGCTAGCTTGGCCATGCTACATTCAGCAATGGTCACATTCCACAGGAGAGCTGGGATGTGGACACACAGGTCTTCAGAATAGGCGAGAAGCTGGCTCTTCTGGGAATAAAGAGAGTGCCTAAGAACGGAGACAGATATGCACCATATGGCAAAAGTACTAGCATTTGGATATATTTTAAAATTTCTAGAAACCAACAAGAAAGAGGTGATGACCAAACATCGAAAAGGGTACAGACTTGAATATGAAAAAATCTGAACAATGTGAGATGCTCACATTTCTGAAAATAGTATTTTCATAGTGAATATACTCCAACCTATTTTAATTTTTACTGTTACCTCGTCATTTTCCAGCTAAGTAAACTTTCTTTTCTCTTAAACAAGACCCCCTTTTCTTCTCAGGTAACCGCTCTGTGTAAGCCATCCTTGTCATTCCTCAGCAAGGCTCCCAATGCAACACAGTGGTCAGAAACAATAGTACCACACCGAAGTGTCATTTCCTCAGTGAAAACACACTGCTCTTGGCAATGACTGAAACCCAGCAGATTTCCGAGGTCCAGGCACTGCTGAGAAGGAAAGGTCTAGAACAAGGACCGTGGAAATGAAAACACAAAGGATGACACAAGAAACAGTGGTTTACTTAGGCTTCATTAAAGCCTAAATACAGGTGCACAAAGGTTCACGAGGAGCTCAATGCTCTGTTCTCTTTGCTACAACCACCTTCTGACATGTCTGATCTGCAAGTGTCACCATGGAGTGACCTTCAGTGTCCAGGAGAAAGGCTGAAGGGTTCAGGGCAGCTGAGGGCGGATGGTCCAGGACCAACAGGGCATTGACCTCACAGCACAGTGTCACTGGGTTTCCAAGTGCTCATCGTCTGCAACAAAGGCTGCATTCTGTACAAATGTGGCCTGTCCTGATGCCGTCCACATGGCCAGGCTCAGTCACCTCTGTCCTGTAACTCCTGTGGCCTGTTCTGATGCCATCCACACAACAGGCTCAGTCACCTCTGTCCTGTAACTCCTGTGGCCTGTTCTGATGCGATCCACACACCAGGCTCAGTCACCTCTGTTCTGTAACTCCTGTGGCCTGTTCTGATGCCATCCACACACCAGGCTCAGGCACCTCTGTTCTGTAACTCCTGTGGCCTGTTCTGATGCCATCCACACACCAGGCTCAGTCACCTCTGTCCTGTAACTCCTGTGGCCTGTCTTGATGCCATCCACACACCAGTCTCAGTCACCTCTGTCCTGTAACTCCTGTGGCCTGTCCCGATGCATTCCACACACCAGTCTCAGTCACCTCTGTCCTGTAACTCCTGTGGCCTGTTCTGATGCCATCCACACACCAGGCTCAGTCACCTCTGTCCTGTAACTCCTGTGGCCTGTTCTGATGCCGTCCACACACCAGGCTCAGTCACCTCTGTCCTGTAACTGACCTAGGTCTGACGTCCTCTAGGTATCACTCCCGTCCTGTTCTTCTTACAGCAGACACTGGGACATACTCACATGGCCCCCACTGCCTCTCCGCTCCACTGGTAACTCTCGGGCAGGGGCTGTGCCTCATCCATTACTCTATCCAGTGCTTTGCTTGCAGCAGGTATATTAAGAAAGAGTTAAGTGACATAAATGGGAAGGGGCTGAGGGAGATGGCTCTTGGCTAGGTGTTTTTGGAGGGGTGCGGAGGAAAAGCCTGCCTCTTTATCTAAAGTGGTCCCTGATCTGTCATCACTATGGAGGCCAAGGATGGAGGCCAACGCACCCGGATAAGCTAAGCGGGTGAAGAAGCATAGATATGAGGGGTCTAGGTGTTTCTGTGGACATCAGCCATGAACTTGTAACTCCCAGGGATGAGGCAAAGGAAGAAAGACCACAATAAACTAAAAATGCACGGTTATAAAGAGATACACCAAAACCTTCTGAGCAGAATGTAGGGATGGACATCAGCTGTGCAGCTCTTTGGAGGCATGTGATCTGGTATCACTAATAGGGTTTACAGTAACATGTCCTGGAATTGTTTGGTTTTGCAATCATTCTGGAGGATAAAGATGGTTGGTCCTGAAGCAAAAGGAATTACTGAAAATGGGCCTAGTTTAATCAAGGCAGGGGAACTGTGGAGGCAGAACATTTACTGTGTGTGGGCATATGTACTCTTGTGCACAATGTGATCGTTCCAGCCCAGTGCAGTGGTACACAACTGCAATTCCAGTATACAGGAGGCTGGGGTAGAAGACTGAGAGTCTGGGGCTAGCCTCGAACACTTGACAGCCCCTGTTTCCCAAAACAGAACACACAAAGCCACTGCCAATCATTACCATCACCAACACTATGACTGTTCTTTGTGGTCTCTTGTGACTGAGGTAGGACTCTAGTTACCCTAAGCATCTTTTTTTTTCTTTCAAGACAGGGTTTCTCTGTGTAGTTTTGGTAGCTGTCCTGGATCTCACTCTGTAGACCAGGTCGGCCTCGAACTCACAGAGATTCACGTGGCTCTGGCTTCCTAATGCTGGGATTAAAGGCGTGTGCCACAGTCACCCTGCCCCAAGCACTTTAAAAGGGCGAATAGATCCTATATGTTCAAACCATTCATGTTTACAGGAGGGAATTTCTGGTGTTTCTCACAAGACTCATTTGGGCAGAAGAGTTCCTATGCTAACCTCTTCCTTAGGATAAGAGTGACTGGGGAGTTGTGAGCATTAATAAAAATCAAAGGGTAAAAACTTACATTTTAAACTCTCTTCAAAATGTAAACCATCATAATCATGGGAACAGAGGGGCTCTGCTACAGGCAGGTGTATTCAGGTAAGTTATCAAGAGGGCTAGCCTGATCAAACAGGTGGCCTTAGTCTGAGGCTATCACACTGGGACGGATCAGCCATGGTCAAGGGGAGTGTTGTGAACTGGCTTAGTGAGGCATTAGGAATGAGGTTAGCTCCATGAACTACAGGTCTCAGGATCAGCCCTGGGTGGGGATGTGGCAGGTGCGATGTAATCATCCTAAAAGCAATGGGAATGGACCCATTTCTCTTTAATTCTTCTCCTGAAACTCAAAGTCAAAATCAATGACTTCAACTTCCTTATACGGAGGGATGCAGGTTCTAATCTACAGGAAGAGGACTGTGGGAGACACCTTTCTTTCTAGGCAGGAGTCAGTTTTTGCTTTTTTCCTGTTCTTCCCCTTCTCTCTGTCAATGCTGGAGAGGAGGGTGTAGGAGCTGTCACGTGACCATGGGATTCTGACCAGGAGGAAAGCCCGCTAAGGACAGCAGAATGAGAATGCTGGAGTGTCCACATGCCCGACAGCTGTGGGGATGGGGAGATGCTTATTTCTACATGGTGTTTGCAGCTCTTTCTTGGTGCATGAGACAAACAGCTTCCTATCTGCTGTGGCCACGGGGATTGAACTTCTGTTAACAATAGTCCATCTCACTCCAACCTATAAAAAACAAAGCTGGGACAAAGCTCTGAATGTTCTGGGTATTTTGGTCAGAGCAAAGGGGACGTGGTGCTTTACTCTTGCTGGGGAGAAGGGAGGCACCATTCTTCATCTACATGCACAGGAGGTTTCCCTGAATCGGGGCACAAGCACCATGGACTAGAAGGCGCCTTTCCAAGGAAGGCCCGCCCTGCAATGTTCTGATTAGTCCTGAGAGTGGCAGGATGCACAGGCTGTAGTAGGGCTACAGGGCATAGAAGCTGAGCTGAAGGGAGACTGGAGAACTGGAGGGTCCTTGGACAAGAGCTTCAGTGAGAACAGAGGCCCCAACACAAAAATAGCATGGTAGATCAAGGCCATGTTACCCAGGAGGCCCCGAGAAAAACTATACAGAATTTGACATGCACAGAACCCAGACAAAGACACTTAGTAGGGGGAACTTATTTAGCCTTTCTTGTTTACATTGTCTTTCATCTTTGCTAACGGTGCAAAATGTGTATAACAACACAGAAACTAGGCTTAGAAAAGAAATTCTCACATTCTAAAATTTTTTTTATCATTTAGAAAAATGTTTCTTACTTCTGCAGTTCATTATGTTTCTTTCTCAGCCAGGCGTCCAGTTACTATGAGACTGCCCACTGCCTGCAGAACTGAGTAGACCACGTGACCGCTCATTACAACCATCCATCCGTGTGCAAATGTACCATATTATATTTAACAGTATGTTTACCACAGGGAAAGATGTAACGAGTGCTCGGTGGTGAACAATTATTAAAACTCTCACATTTTAGACTGGAAGAGAATTTAAAATGTAAGAAAAAACTATTCAGAAAAACAATAACACATTCCTAGAACTACTTCATTTTAGAACAGAGATGAAGTCCTACAGCCATATCATTACCCTTGGTCCTAAATCTAGCACAGATAAACACTTTCTTTCTTCTCTTTTCTTCTTAGATTTCAGGCTGAGCTTCCTTGGATCACTAGGTCCTCATGTGGGCTTTATGAACAGACTTTCAGAGGACCACCTGAGTGAGAGAGAAGATCACATGGATTTCTGGTCTCTTTGCAGTAAAAAAAAAATTATTCTGCGACTAAATGAAATTTAGTGAGAAGAAATTTGTGATCTGTGCTGAAGCTTGCTATCATTAGCTCGTTAAACAGTCTGAAAAGCTATTTCCATGTATATTAAGGAAGGGGAAAGATTATGAATGTTTCTTTCACAAGAATTATTTACAAAGAACCGTAACCCGGCAGGACTTCCTCAGGTCCTAGGCTACATCTCTCGTTAGGTAATGGAAAAGAATTAAAACATTAAGCTAGCCTAACAAAAAGACCTTAAATATTTTAAACACTTAACTGTTTGACCTATATACTGTTGAGCTAAAATATATTTTCTTTTAGCTTTGATCAGAAAATCTAATTTAGCTGTCTTAGTGGGAAGACCATGTCTCATGAAACGGAAGCCCATCCACTCCAGGGAAAATATGAAGTACCAAACATTCCAGAGTTGAAATGGGGGAAATCCACGCATAGTCTTTAGGAACAACGTCTGAGACAATCTAGTCACAATCTAGTTGTCCCCATGAATGCAGAGGTAACGCTTACACTACAGCTAATTGAGTAAGGGCCACTCTCTAGCTGGGAAGTGACATTTCTCTCCCTCC